TTAAAATAATTTTGTATAGCAACTGAATTTTTCATCTTGTAGGACCCTCCTAACTTCGTAATATGCACAAGATCAAAAGTGTAAGAGTATCTGTCATCATTGCTACTGTGTACTCACCCAAACTTATAAATGTTAGGATTTTCACCATTAATATTTTTACTGATTATAATCGGCGATAACAATTTGAATATTAACTGGAAAGACTAACAAATAGTCATAGCCCCTAATCATTACTTTCATCATCTTAAACGAAGTAGAGTGGATACATCTCACATAACCACTAATGTTTATTTTTTTGGTCTCTTGCTCCTTTTATCTTTTTTTTGTCTATCTTTTATGCTTCTTTATTTGTAGGTCTCAGTCAACTGGGAGGGAGGCAACAGGAGTTGGTGCAGCGGGCCAAAAGGCGTCTAATTCAGGTAAGATCTTCGCCGCCTTCTTATACATCAAAATCCTAAACAAGTTACATTAAAATTTATCCTTCTTATTTTTCATCGGTGAACTATAAAATAATATAAAATAGCTTATTTGTATATGTTTTAATGAGCCTTCCTTATTCGGTGTGTATCTGATTAAATATTATGGGCAAATAGGAGTTAAGGACGTAAAATACTTAGATATCATAACGAAGTCTTTTTAAAGTGTGGATCATTTCGACCACATTTGATAATATTGCATCGCAATGCTACATTGCAAACTACTGTAGTAAGCTATAGCATATTTTGATATCTAGCGGCATAGTGGATAAAAATTGGTATAGCATGGTACATGTTAGCAGTATGTATATAAGTAAATAAATTGTTATGGTTTTCCAATAACATTTTATCTTTGTCAAGAAAAAGTGCCTGTAATATGGATAGATCTTTCGCGAAGTTGTGTAATTTATCCACTTTTCTGTGAAGTTCCGTACATAATTTCTTTGGAGATTAATTAGAGACTATTGAATCACTAGCTGAAATTGCTTTTAAATGGATGGTCTAATGTTATCGGCTAGGCGTCCAAAGATCATTAAATTTAAAACTCGGGATTAAACATTTTTTCAGAATGACTATCAAGGTATGCTAATTAACCAACTATTATTCTTATTCGAAGGTATGGAGACCTAGATGTTGTGATCTCTAGTATGATCGCAGTCTCCTTTCGTTGTCTAAAAGTTGTTTGACCTCGTTTTCGCAACTTTTTCATATTGGCAGAAAGACCGAGAGGAACGCACGTTGTCAGGAGTCGATAGTATGCATGATAATTACAAGAGTATGTGAAACGTCTGGGACTGTACTAAGTCCACAGTCAGACTGGACAAGGTGCGTTCCTCTAGGTATTCCTGACATTATGACTAAGTCAAACAACTTAGATTATTATTATTATTATCATTATGATTTTATGATTAAGAATGTACGATTTTCAAACCAAAATATCTCTTATTTTTTTAAGAGTAATAATAAGGTACAAATCTCGGTCTCTTATTAGCCCTCTCATCAGCCATTTATAGACCT